CCCTTACGGGAAACCACTTTCATTAGACAAACTCAAAATTTAGTACATTTTAATTATGACTATGTTTCTACTATTGGTGCCGATTTTATGGTTTGATTTTTTAAATTCAATGTAATTTTAATGAAAAAAAAACCACTTTAATTTTTCTATTGGAATAACGTAAAGGTAAAAACATATCTAATTGACAGAAAAATGATAAAAATACAATTTTGGGATCTTCGTTTGTTTTTTAATATCAAATTATATATACAATGCATTTACATTAAATGTTTCCAAACAATTATTGCATAAAATATGGTTAAACAACGTACAAATTTAAAAGTAAACTTGTTCATTTTGATTTTAAAATGGTTAAGTTGGTAATTAAGATTGTGATTTTAAAATTTTTTTATTTACACCGACTTTATTATTTATCCAATTATAAAAAAGTATTTTTATAATAAAATTTGATATTATTTAATGTTAAAATTTTATCATTTTTTATAATATAAATATAATTCCACAAATATAAAATAACAAGTCAGCAAGTCAAGTACGAATAGAAACAATTAGTAATACATTTATCAAGTTTGGTTTTTAATATAACAAATATTAATACAAATTTGTTTATATTGTCATATTATTTAATAAAAAAATGTATTAACTTTGAGACAATCTACTGTGTTGTTTTATATGTTTTCAGTTAGAGATGAAAATACGTTTAATAACATTCCCAAGCTGATTCAGTTAAACAGAGATTACACTGGTAACATCGAAAATAATATCAACGTGATTATTGGCAACTTTGCAGAAGATGACACCAAAAGAAAAATAGAAAAAAGTCGCGCAGAGACATTTGCAAAAGAAAATGGGTGTCACTATTTTGAAATTGGCAATTTCTCTAAAAAAGATATAAACAATATAATAGTGTTTGCGATATATGAAGCGTACAGCAAAGGAATAATCAAACATGTTGGACGTCCACATTTACAATCAACACAACCAGAGGATAGACGATGTTTTATTCAGTAAAGGATAATTTTAATATTGTTACTTGAGTTGTTGGTATGGTAAAAACTTGCATTTTTTATTGTTTTAAAAAATATTGTTTAAACAATCATAATATTTTTGCAATATAAAGTGAATTTAATTAAGGAGAGCTTACTCAATTAGGTCATTTGAGTAAGCGGAATAATTTATTTTTAGAAAAATAAAAATTATTTCAATTATGGTCTTTCAACATTGTTACAAATGATTCACGTTTTTTGTTATATAACAACAAAGTAACAAAAAAAAACTTTATTAGTTTTACTCTCTTAATTTGTGGTATGTTAAAGTTTTACAATTATCATCATACGGAGAATAAACACATTTCAAAGTGTCAGTTGAATTTTTCAACAAGACATTTGACGATAATAATCAATTATTATTATCGAAATCTACTCTGTTTAAACCTGCCGACACATGGAAAATTTATTGTCACTAAATTTGTCGATAAAATTTATGCTTTCTTCGCTTTCGACAATTTTTTTTTCAATTTCACGATTATCATTAAAATTGTATTTTATTCCATGAATCATCACAACCTCATTTTTGTCGAAAATGTTCACCAAATTAGTTTTTGTTGGGGTTTTGACTGGAATTTCCTAATTATTTGACTCATTCTAGTTGAAACAATAATGTTTTCATTAACTTCCATTTTAAATCGCCATTACCATCAACCAAATCAAATAATAAGGTTCGAGACCAACAACTTCTTTTTGTTCGTTATAAGATTGGGTTGTTTGTTTTTAAACTTTGTTTCTTTTTGTGGCCTTCCCACTTTCTTTGTTTTGTTTCAGTGTTAACCAAAGTTGAGTTGCGCTTAAGTGTCGGCTTCTTCAATGTTTAATTGTCAATAATTATGTGTTTGGTTTCTTTTCTTTTGTTTTGTTTTGTTTTTTGATTGTTTCCGTTTAAAAACAATTTTAGTATAATTTTCTGTTCATCAGACCATATTGGTACATTTTTTGAGGTCATTATGTCTCTTTTTGAAATTAAAGTAATTGTATGATTATTTGTTAACATTAAAACAGTAAAATATTCGGCCCGTCAAATGACAGCTAAATTCAAAAAAACTATAATTAATTAATTAATTAATTGATAAAAATAGTTTTTTACTTGAAAAACTATCTTTGAGTAAGCTCTCCTAAATATATTTTTTTTCTAAAATCTTATTTATATTGTACAGTAAACCCCCCCCCAAAGCGGTACCTCTAAAGAGCAGGTTCTCTCAAGAGTGGGCATTTTTTAGACTAAAACTAAAAATAGAGTTCTCTATCGAGCAGTAATTGAGGTTTGATTGGCTAAAAATGCCCGCTCTTGAGAGAACAAAATTACCACGCCCTCCCGCTCTTGGGAGGTTTTACTGTATTATATTTATTTAAAAATAAATATTAAATAAATGTATATATTTGTCTAATTCATCATAGATATAATGAAATGTTTTATTTATCTTTTTGGTTAATATTCAGTTTACATTTTTTAATATATATATTAAAACACAATTCCCTTGTAACAGTCTTTTGTAATAGTTTGAATTCTTTTGCAATAACAGTTCGCTTGACTGTAAAACATACCCTTACTCATTCTATGGACACCACAATTAAATCAAAATGATATTGTCCAGTAATCGAATCGTTCTAATAGTAATGATGGTATTTCCCATTCGCAGTCTTAAATGTGGGGGTTTTCCATATAAAACTGTATATATTGGGATATAATAAAAAGTGAAATTTGGTGTGAGTCAAACAACAGTATTTGTTGGTGGTTATTTATATTCTTTCCCTTTGTTGTGAAGTGTCTGTGTACTCAAAATTGGGGTATCGATCAACACAATGACACTTATTGTCGACATAAAGTTCGGCATTTAAATCTGATTCAAAAAATTAAGTCGATTTGGTTATACAATTTATTCAAATCACAAACTTTGATGTATTTTAGTCTTACATATTAAATTTTATCGTATTGTATATTGTCTGTTTTCGAATTCAATAAGCTAAATGCATACAAAGGTATTTTGACTCACTTGTTATAATTGGGTATTTTGTCGAAGTAATGGTGCGTGGTATTGTATTGTCTATTATATAATAATGTATTATATTAAAATGAATTGTTTATAAGGAGATGATATTCAGATTTATTAAACGAGTGTAAGGTTTTATTTTTTCACTTAATGTTTAAGTTATTATGTTTTTGAATCAATTCAAAGAAATGGAATTTGTTGTTTTTTTGGTATTAAATCACTGTCTATTGCGTTGTTTATTTATATATCTTAAGAAAATATGGTTGATAAAACGATTGAAAAGTTATTTATAATAAATAAAACTCTAGTTGTCAATGTTTTTAAAATAATATTTTAATAATTTTTAGTTGATATTCTTTAAAAGAAGTTCTAGTTTTTACCTTGAAAAAAAACGTTTTAGTTGGAAATCAAATTAATTTAATAACTTATTATTGTTATCAAATTTATATATAGTATTATTTTTATATCAACAATTATATGTCTTATATTTTGGTATTCACGATTCCATATTATAATCAAAAATTTCATCGTTAACATCAAACAACGTGAAATTATTATAATAACTAATAATTTACAACGGTTGATAGATTTCATATAGTCCTCTTTGGTTTTTTCTGATCATCTATAATGACACCTTTCTGGTTGTTGTATTTTGTCTTTTTGTGTCTTCTTTTTGTTTTTTCTACTTCCAACTTTTTTCCAGTCTCACAGTATGCCTTTTCCTTTAATTTATTATCATCTTCTTCAATGTTTTCAAGTGTTTCTTTTAATAATCTGTTCCTCTCTCTATCTTCAGAACATATTTCAGGCATTTCAATATCAATGTTATAATGAGAGATACCACATGTTCCTTTCATTGCATCTACCATTCTATTCCATTCTTCAATATAATACTCCTTTGGCAATTCAACTTCTTCTAGTTCTTCTTCTAAGTATTCACTGTCTGTTGTTGGTTGGTCAACTGGAATATATTCTTTGTTATACAACTTTCCATTGACACCTTTATCTATTTTAACTTTATTTTCAGTCCTTTCTTCTTGTTTTTCTTTTATCTCCTTTTCCAGAGTTTGATCAATAACCAACAACTTTGAACCTTCCAAAACATTTCCACTATCGTCAATCTCTTTACTCATTAAACATGTTTGATCATCATATTGTTCTTTTACTTCACCACGGGGTTTCTTTAAATGGTTTTTTGTTTCATTTTTATTCTTTGATAAAACATCTTCTTCTTTTATAGCTTCTTTCTCCCATTTGGTTTCTGAAAACTTTTCATTTGTTGTCATATTTCCGTCTCTTTCATCAATTAACTTATCTTCGAGCGTCCTTCCCATTTCTTGCAGAGTAACTTGTGATAAGGAACTTTTTGCCGTCTCAATTATTGGTGTTACAATCAATTTATCTTCAACCTTCTGGTATTCTTTTTCGGATTGTAAAAGTTGAACTTCCTTTTCATTTGAATAAAATAATCCTGACGGTTGAATGACTTCTTCTTGATTTGTGTTCTTGATTAGTTTTTGGGTTTCAATGATGTGATACACGAGAACTGCTATCACAACCGCAAAAATGCAATTGAGCATTGATGAAATCAACAAACATGCACATAACACCATTTCATAATTCATGCCTTAATGATTGAAATGATCATTAAGATGATTTTTTGATTAAAAGGGGTATAATTTGTCTTTTTCCATAAATATATTCATTGTTTCTTTTATTATAAATTTATTATAGATATGTAAAACACAAACAACAAAAATGGTAAAGCAAAAATTATATCATAATTAAAAATACAACATACACCTAATGTTTTATACTTGAGTTTTTTATAAAAATTGTTTTTTCCATTACATGGTTATGTAGTAATTGTTTGGCACGATTCTAACCCAAAATGAAAAAAACGATTCCTTAAAAAATCAAAGATAAATACAACAAAAAATGTTTAATTGCTTTATTTAATCAACAATGTTGTTCATTTCCTTACAACCAAACACTTCCATTATGTTTCAACCATCAGAAGTTAATAATTAAATATTTGAAATTAAATTAGTTTGAAACATAATTTGAAATTTCAAACATTAATTTTAACAACATTATCGACCAACCGTTGTTGAAATATTATACAATCTTCTTAAATTTCATAACGAAAGCAAATACTTTGATAATCTCGTTGATTTTATATAATTAAAAATAACAATTTGTGAAGAAATAAAAATTGTAGTAATACGTTGGAAAGATAATATATCAATTAGTACAAAAACCATTTGTTGATTACATTTAAAAATTTTAAAATACAAATAAATAAAAAATCAGTTAATTGTATATGTGCATTAAACGTAATTCTATCACCATAACTACAACGAATATCGTAGAGATGTATATATTTAAAGAACGCAATTCTTTAATATTAATTAATACAGTAAAACCTTTACTGTATTGATTAACATTAGTGGTTCCCCTATTAAGAGATGTTTTAACCAATAAAAATAAAAACATTTATTGAGGTAAAAAAACATTTTCATAACCACAATTGAAAGGTTATAATTAACCGTTTAATATACTAATGAGAGGTTTTATAGTAGTTATTTTGGTCTGGTATTGGAAGATTGTCGTCAACTAAAAAATCTGTTAACTGGTCGTACAAGTCTTTTAAATATAATAAACACGACTTGATCAACGTATTATCTGAGTTTACTCTTTCAATAAAATTAATGTATTTGCGGAGTCGATGATCTTCATAGTTAGTACTACTTTTTTCAAATAAAATTAGAAAACTGTATAAATTCTTGTACAGAGAATTTGAAAGCTTGTTATAGCCATAATTACTCGGCTCGATATCAAATTTTAAAAAATTTTAAATTCTTATAATCGTAAAAGTGACTGATCAACTTTCACAACAAAGACTTATTTGAATTGTTTTACAACGGACTTAATTTTTAAAAAATTAACACAATTGAAATTGATATTTGTTACTTTTGAAAAAAGTGCACTGGAAGTGAGAGATGACTTTGATTTGTTGTTGATGTAAAATTAAACATCATATAGTTTGTTTATATTTTTCAAGTTTAACAATTGTAAGGAAACAAATCTTGAAAAATCAATACATTGAAGTTTTTATTAAAATGGTGTTTTTTTGTTTTTTGCTTTTTTAAAAATTATCTTAATTTATTATAAGTGTATTGAAATCGCGATCATTCGATAAGTTAATATATATTTTTAAACAAAATTCATTTGAATTAAAGTAACAAAATGTGTTGAATAGTACAATTATTATTTGAATAAGACTAAATGTCGACGTTGGTGACCAAATCAACGTTTTACAACTTACTCTATATTATATATATGAAATTGTTTGTTTTGTTATTAAACCCCAATCAAAAAGTTAACAATTGATTGTTCCAAACACAATGCAATTTTTCAACGACACAATCAATCGTAATACGTTCTTTTGTATTCTGTTCCCAACTATTTTCGATGATTTCAAATAAATTGTTCGGGATGTTTTTCGAATTTTCAACTCGTTTACCCGAACACACAAATTCTGCTATTTGCCATGGATAATTGAAAACGTTTTTAGAGTATATTTCACACCACCCAAACATTTCGAACATAGTCACTCCGAATGAAAACACATCAGCTTCTTTTTTGTTCTTTTCTTGTTTTAAAATTTCAGGAGCCATATATGTGGGTGTACCAATACCATTCGTGAATGTCATGTTCGTCATCAATGTGTTAATATTTCTGGCACTTCCAAAATCAGTCAATTTTGCATTAACTTTGTCATTCACAATAAGTGAAAACACAAGAATGTTGTCTGGTTTAATGTCTCTGTGTAAAATTCCATTTAAATGTAAATACAAAATTCCCTTAGCAGAATCTATTGCTAATTTTACTCGAAGTTTCATTGTTATTTCTTCACTCTTTTTATTGTCAATCAAATTTTGGCAACTCCCAAATTGTGCAAATTCGGTGACCATACACACCTTGTTTGGTACGAACACGGCACCATAGAAGTGCACGATATATTCACACCCAAACTTGTCCAACATATGTACTTCCTTTTAAAATTCGTCAATTGACGTTTCTGTGTTGTTGAAATCTTTTATCTTCTTGATCGCAACAATGTTGTTTCTAAAACCCCCTTTAAAAACAACACCAAACGATCCTTCTCCAAGTTTGACATCTTCTTTAATTTCATGATAATCGAGTTTTGATGTCATTTCTGTTTTTGCACACATTTCAATATTGTTGTAAGTAATAATATTATTTAATAAATTCTTTGAAATTATCACGATCGTGCTGGTGATATTTGAAGAGTAATTTGGTGTTAGATATATCGAAAATTCACATGCAAATCCTTTCTTAATAACAACAATGTTTGGCTCGGTTCTTAGGTGGTAACTTTCTTCGTTATTTTTAGATGATAGTTGGATTTTAAGTGTTTTGGATGTCATATTACCAACACATAAAAGTTCTTTACTTTCTTTGCAAACTTGAATTTCTTCATAATCATCATCAAATAATATTTTTGTTTTGTTAACACAAACACCGCCTTGCAAAGAAGTGAATATTACATTTGATTTTTTCATGTTAAATAAAGTGGTTTTCTTTTCTATTTCTATAATTTCACGTTGTTTAATAATATTTCTTATTATGATATATACAGTTGTTGTAAATACAATAATCATTGATAGACACACAATGGCAACTATGACTATTACCCACCACACAACATGAGAATTACAACGAATACCATATTCATTTGGCCTGTACCAAAATGAACATTTGGTGCATTTTGAGTGACCAACTTCTTTGCAATTTGTTATTAATGAAATATCAACACATTTTGAGTCAATTAAAACTTTATTTGTATTACATGAAGTACACATATGTTTGGTTTGTAAACATGTCAAACAAGTTGCATCACACTTTTCACACTCATTTGTGTTGACTGTGAAATACCCATCAGAACACTTTGAACATCCATTTTGTGTTGTTTTTACTTGACACCCAACAATGTCACTTTGTGGTTTGCATTCATTATTTGATGTTCGATAATTTGTCGAGTTACAAGTCAAACAATTTTCTCTGTTGTTGCAAGTCCCACATTTAATATCACATTTCTTACAAGACAGTCCGCTTCTATAATATCCATCAATACATTTAACACACCCACCTGATGGTATAAACTGTTTGCAAATACCATTTAAGTCTATGTTTGTTATACATTTGTGGTCACTTAAAAAAGCATCATTGTTGCACGAGAGACAAAATGTTGAATTGAAAAGGCAGGTATTACAATTACTATCACAACTCATACACTTCCCATTTGAAAAATAGTATTTGTCAGTACACTTGACACATCCATTCTGTGTTGTTGTTTTACAATTAGTTTGTTTGTTATTTTCACTGTTCTGTATACAATTTCTATTGTCATCTATTGTGTAATTGTTAACACATTCAACACACTTCCGATTGAGTGTAAATTTGCACATTTCTTGTGTTCTAAAACACCTCCCATTTTGTTCTATATATTCATTTGTTTTGCAAATTGTCGATTCACAATTTCCATTTTCTGTGATTTCAAAATCATTGGAACATTGAATTGGCTTCTCAACATCACATTTTATCCAATTTTCATTCATTGTTAAACAATTTTTGCACTCAGCGTTGTCAATGAAATATCCATCTCCACAATAAATAATATTATTATAAACATAATTCGACTCTTTTTCTGTATGGTGGCAAATTCCATCATTTCCAATAAAATAATTGTCATCACATATTATACATTTACTATTTTTACACATAACACAATTAACATCATGACATATATTACAATTATTTGCAAGTTCTCCTGTTTTACATTTTAAACATTTAATCCCATTTGTAAAATAACAATTGTTGTTTACAATACAATATTCGTTTATAATGACATGAGTATTATCACATTTGATACACACACTTTCATTACCAAATACACAGTCTATATTTAATCTTTGGCACTCAAATTTACTTTTTTAAAAATATCCAATTTCACATTCAAAACAAGAATTGTCATTGTTAAAAAAAATTACAATGAGAAGTTAATTCAACACACACTCCCTTTACAAGTCTTGTTTTCGAATTGCATTTTAAACAAGTTGTTTCTATTAATGTATTTTTTAACAATTTACAATTTGGACTTATAAAATTGTCAACTCTTTCATTTCCAAAATTTAACACAATGACGTTATTCGCACCAAAAGATGTCGTAAAGGAAAGTTGATTAACTGCATTGACTTTTTCTCCAAATAAAACAAAGCAATTTTCGGATGCTACAACCTTTCCAATAATTCCTTCTACGTCAAATTGTATTTTAGAAAAAATTCTGAATATTTCTATATCAATATTTAAGTTTGGATAAATACTTAATGTTTGTATCAAAGAATTGTAATAAATGGTATATTTATAATACATATAACTATTTTTTATAGTAACTATACCAAACGAAAATTTGATAATATAACCATTATACAATGATGTTATATTTACATTCACATTGTCTTTTATTTGTATTTCTTTAATTACTTGCGCATAAGTAATATCGACATTTTTGTCGACAACAAGAATTGTATTGGGCATATTAAAATTGTTTAAATTAACACTTGATAGTGTATGATTAATGTGTAAATAGCAATTTGTATCTTTGTCATCACACGGACAATGTGGATAATTAAATGAATAATCACCAGCTCCAATATAACTTATTTGATAATTGTTTTGGTTTAAAGTACATGTCACTGTTCGTTCTGGAGTTATAATGTTACTTGGGCAAAACCTCATTAATCTTCCATTTGATAAAAGAAAGACAATTCCTTCATTAAAATTAATTGGAAAATTATTGGTGTTCAGATGATTTTCGTTCGAATTAAAATTTATACACGTTGAATTGTTCATTGAAAACACATCAAAACAATTTGTGTTTCCTTTGGGATTCAAAATGGAAAATCCACTGTATTTGGCAGTTTTGGAATACAAATGTAAATAAGACGAATTCCACAAAACAATTCGTGGTTTATCAAGTTGTGGAATTTCAATTAAAACATCACCATTTATTGAAAATGACCCATTCACTTGTATTGTAGCATTATTATCAAGAGTCAAATTTTGGTTTGAATGAAACTGTCCTTTAAAAGTAACACTTGTGTCTTTCGAAATATAAAATAGTTGTGATGCTCTTATCCAATTAAGTGAAATTATGATAATTACAAACGAAGATGTCAATGAAAGTGTATTGCATTCAAATGCTGTTGAAAATTGAAAGTCATCACTTAAACATATAGAATAATTTAACAACATGTCAGAGGTGGCACAATCGATATTCTTACTCGATTCAAATCCATCACTTTGTGTGTTTTTGACAGGATAACAATCACATTCAAAAGAACTCACTTTATAAACAAATAATATAATTAAGACTTTTGATATCATTTGAAATAAAATAATATCAAAGTTTATAAAAAGTTTTGTATTGATAAAATAATTTTGTTTTAATTTTTTTAAACATGAATATAAATAATAATGTTTAATTTTGTTTTGATGTTATAAATATAAGCGTTTTAAACGGCAATTATTAAACTTATTGTTTCATTTTTGTATATTTCATTAATAAAAATAATCGTTTTCGAAGAAAAAAGCTTAAACGAATTTTTCGTTTTTTATAATATTACAGTATGACAAGTTTGACTTAAACGACAAGTTTGGGTTAAATGGTAAATATTATAATTTAATTATAATAAAAATTTGAACTATAACCCGAACTAATTAATTGCTTTTTTATTATCAAGTTTATATAAAAAATTGAATAATTAAAAGCAAACCAAAAACCCAAACACACAACATAAAGAATAAGAAAGCAACGAAAAAAGTAAAGATAATTATAAACTATCACACAATCATGATCATCACCAACATTTTAATGTGATCACAAACAATAAAGTTTTATCAAAATTTGTCAAATAAAGTAACCATAACATTTCAAATTCAATTCAAATATAAATACAGTCTAATTTCCCTAGAGTGTGTAATTATTGTTTTTTTTGTTCTCCATTGAACGAGCATTTCTCAAGAACAAACCAAAAACAAGATAGACATGCTCTTTAAAGAGTTGGTCCACTTTTTATTGGCCAAAATCAAGCGTCTTAATGAATCCCACTCTTGGGAGGTTTGGCAGTTTTTCCTTGCGTTGAATTCGTTTTTATGGATATTATTATTTAATTAAGTTAAAAGCAGTATTCTTCCATCGCGATAGGAGATACTGCTGATTTATCATATTAAAATAAATATAAAGGAATACAAACGTTTCCGAATGAGGCGGCACATGTTTCGGTGCGTTTAAACTCAACGAGACAAACACGTTGAAATATACAAAACAATACTTAACATGTGTCGTGGTTTTATTTTTCAAGACCAGAGTGTAACATAAAACAATAGAATTAATAATAATTTAAATATTATTCTATTTAACCATTATATTTTTTTAGTTTAACCCACTGTTTACTATAATAATTGGTTTTTAAACCATTAACGTGAACCATTTAAGGCAAACTTGTCTAACTGTATTATTAAAACAAATATATTAGTAAATTGACTTTTATTATTGTATAGTTTATTAGTTTAATATAACAATAAAAAATAATTGGTTTTTTTGAACAAAGGTTAATTTGCTGGACGAAAATTTAATGGACCAACTGTACAATTGAAAAAAGTTGATTTTATTGATTTTTTTAAAAAAATATTTTTTTTGTTTTTTTTGTTTTTTTTGTTTTTTTTGTTTTTTTTGTTTTTTTTGTTTTTTTTGTTTTTTTTGTTTTTTTTGTTTTTTTTGTTTTTTTGTTTTTTTGTTTTTTTTGTTTTTTTGTTTTTTTAATTTTTCTCGTTTTTAAAATAACTCGTCTTTCTCGATTTATAACTTTTTCGTCTTTTTTTTTCGTTTTTGTGTTATTTTACATTTTTCTTGTTATTTTCTTGTGATTTTATTTTGAATGACATGTGTGTGTCTGTTTGTTTACTTATTTTTGAAATTTATTTAGTTAATTAAATTAAAATAAATACTTATCTTTTTTATGGAATTAAACCATAATAAAACGATAGTTAGTGAAAAATATTAACTATTTTTTTCAAATAGTATCACAATTTACTATTATATTTAAGAAAATTAACCATTAATATCGTACACGCTTAATAGTATAAAACTAATAAGAATAGTAATTGTAAATAAATAAATATACCGATTTTGCTCTTATATATTAGGGGAAATATAAGGGGATATAAGGGGATTATAAGATTTATAAAAATCATTTATCATTATTTATGTGTTATTTTTGTTAAACTTTTTAATGGCAACATATAAATAAACAATATTTAGTTAAAAAAAATAAAAATTATCAAAAACAAATATTGAGTTTGCTTTTAGTCATATTGATAGTTAAATAATTATTTAGCAATTATAACAATATTTATGTATTTTTTTATTTTTTACTTTAATAGTTAAAAAATTACATTTATAATTCTGTGGTTTTAAGTTTAATTACATATTTTGAATAATTATTAATAGAAATTAAAATCATTTATGTTGGTTTGAATGATTTTATTTTTGGTTTTTGATTAGAAAAAAATGATTATGAATGAGGTAATGATCATTTTAAATGAGATTTATAGAAAATTAAATATAAAAACAAATAAACTCCATTAACATACAATGGAAAACGGGTTAACAGCACTCTCAGCACTCTGCACTAACGCAGCAAAAACGGTGTCAGACCTCCACAAAAATATTAAGGAAAACAACTTTGTTGACGACAAGTCACTTGATATTGCTCAACGCATCGAAAATGCAGAGGGACACTTCGACAGACTTGATGAGGTATTTGATAGAAAGAAGAACATCACAACTTCACTTAACACGATCGTCACCGATTTGGACAACACATCCAACAAAATCAAAAGTGAAATGGCTTCATATTCAACAGAGAATGACAACGACAAGTTGTATGAAATATTCAATGTCAAAATTGCACTTTATGAAGAGAAATGTAAAATGGACATAAAACCATTTGAAGATGAAATCAGCAGAATCAAACAAGCAAAAAACAATAAAATTGATCAAATTATAAAATCAGAGAAATTCATCGACTCAAAGAGACGACACGAAAAAGAAGAAGAAAAAGCCAGTCTTGAGAAGTTGACAGGAATGAAGATTGGGAATGTTGTGTTTGACTCAGACAAGGACAACTGGTCAAGAGACACCTCAGTGTTTGATAAAAAAGTCATGAACAAAAGCAACTTGTGCTTTTTGATCGAAGACACAAATCACAACAAGTTTGGTGGCGTGTTCACTGGTAATATAAATAAAGTTAGAACATGGTTTAACAATGGCAGTTCTTACCTATTTTCACTTGTAAGAAGTGGAACTTTAAAACCAAAAAAGTTTGGTAAGAGTGGAAGTAACCCCAATTATGAATTTTGTCTTTATTCTCAAAACAGTTCAGCACTTTTTGCATTCGGTGGTGGTCATGATATAGCTGTGTACAAGAAAGGCATTGATGGTAGTTTTTGCGACCCATCCACTTTCACCGCCAAACAAAACGAGTTGACTGATAATGACAATTTCACACCAAAGAGTGTTGTTGTCTTCCAACTTCACTGATTTTTTGTTGTCACTTTTGTTTTTATTCAAACATTGCAACACATTGACTCCAAAGTGTCATTTTTGTAATTTTCCACGTCACCATAACTTGAATTAATGTACACCAAGTTTTAACAAAATCTGCCCTTTTTGAAGGGCCGGATAGACTGAAAGAAAACGGGTTTTACCCTTCAAACCTAACACTGGAACGAACACTCGATTAGGACATCTTTGACGTTTCTAGTTTTTCAGGCATCTCCTCTTTGTGTCTTGTATCTTCCGGAAATGGATTCACGACGCCGCAACTCGCCGGGTTCAACAAGTTTCGCCAGTTGCGGCATATCTACTCTTTGTGTCCCGTTGTATCTTTCTGAAGTATGTCAATTGAAAAGTAGTTTGGTATTTTATTTATTATGGGTTTTCTCAAACTACAAACTATTGTAAAATATTTTAGAATCATATTAAAGTTAATATTGTCATCTAAAAACAAATAGCACAAATGTTGATATAATTAATTATAATTTAATAGTTTGGTAACACAATTTAATTTTTCAAACAAAAACTTAGAAAAGATCAATAGACATAATTAAATAATTACAATTGACAGTATATAGCAAATTGACTATTTTAAATAAATAAAAACATCAGTGATGTTGTTAAGATGAATCGCTACTTTTAAATGTATTTTTGGGTTCTACAGATATAGTAAAAATGACTTTATCAATTTGTATCGATTTTGTATCGAAACCCTGGTTTTTTATTAAAAATAGAACATCACCATGTTTTTTATAATCAGAAATATGCAACACTCAATGAAAATTTGATTTAAAAAGCTTTTTTGTGGAATTATTAGAGTCCACCCATAGACTCTAAGTAAGACTCTAAGTTAGAGTGCATCTTTCAAAGACTCGAGGCATCTAGTTGAAATTAAACTATAAAACAATAATAAAAATATCATATTTTAATAACTAGACTCTTGTATTTCAACTGGATTTTAATTTAAAAAAACTAAAACAAAAATATAATAATTATTTATCCTTGTCTTTTTGTGTTTTACTTGAATCGAATTGTTCTTAGATTTAAAAGTAATTGCACTCACCCGATAAACTTCAAGTTGTTTGTTGTTCAGATCTTCACCGGCCTTTCTGACCTGATCTTCCAACTCGGCAGTTCTCAATTCGCCATCTCTGACTGATTGTTGTGTATTCTTCAAATCGGCTTGTGTCTTACCAATATGAGTGTTAAATGTAGACTCCTTCTGTTCAAATTCTGCAAATTTTTTCCAGCTTCTTCAACCTTTCTGGCATACTGTTTAACTTGTTTCTTAGCTTTAACAGCCGCGTTTTGTGCTTCTTCCTTTTCTGTTTCGATTCCTTAGAATTCTGTTTCGTATTTTGCTTTCAATTTAGCAATGGAAGCTCCTATAGCACCAGCGTCCGCCAATTTAGCTTCTGAATCGGTGACTTTAGTTCTAAGTCTTTGAGTTTCTTTGTCAGCCTCTTGTTTCATTGCTCTCTTCTTCTCAAGTTCCTTCTGTAAATCAGCCTTTTGAGCAGTCAACGAGTTGATGGACTTCTCAGCTTGTTCCTTATATTCACCAAATTCGTTTTCGTTCTCCATCACTTCTCTGAGTTTGTCTGCATATTTCTTCTTCTGTGCTTTAGCCTGTTGGGCAGTTATTCTTTAAAGATCAAGTTGTTCATTTAATTCAGTCAATTCCTTCTCATAAGTGTTCTTCGACTGTTTATAAGTCTTCGCAGCTTGTTCAAGGGCTTCCAATTCAGTCTTCATCTCAGACATATCATCTTCAAGTTTGTCGAATTAGTCTTGTTTATAATCGAGTTCAGTATTTGTTCTCATCAATTCTTCAGAAGCAGCCTTATAATCTCTCACAGTCTTGACCTTCTCTTGTTCAGCCATCTGGATGTTCTTCTCAATGGTTTCGGCTCTGACTGTAATTTCAGCTATATCTTTCTTGTACTTTCCTTTAATCAATTGTGTCTTGGCGTGGTCTTTCTTTTCTTGATCAAGTTCAGTTCTAACGTTCTTCGTCTTGGTATTTCTGTTTCATCGCTTCATTGCCATCTTTATCATCATTTGCAGTGTCAAGTTGTCTCTGTGCCTTGTCGACTTCGGCATAAGTCTTTGATCATTTTGTCCATTTCCTCCAAATTCTTCTCATTCTTCTTCTTTTCATCAGTGAGTTGTTCAACTTGGACTGTCAAGTCATTCGCATTTTAGTCAATTTTTCTTCAGTGTTATTGCTTCATCTAAGTTGAACTGGACTTCCTGTAATTTGCTATCAGCAGCCTTTCGAGCACATCTGCACTGTCAGCCTTCTGTCTTTCTTCATCTAGTTGGGCTTATATTTAAGTTATTCTTGCATTCAACTCGTTCTTCTCTTCTTCTTGAGAAACAGAAGCCGGTGCACTGATTTGGACTTTAAATGATGAGACTTGTGCATTGAGTGCTTTGACTTGGTCTTTTGTCTTTTTTTCTTCTATCAAATTGGTCAGCAGCAGTCTTCTCGGCCTCCGCTTTGTCGTCCAATGCCATCTTCTTTTGTGCTTCAAATGCCTTAATCTGTGATTCATAATTCTCAATCTTCGTTGCGTTCGATACACCACTTTTTCATATTTTCTTAGCAGCATCAAGTTGGGTGTTCTGATCTTTCAACACAGCAACTTCGTTCTCCAAATCAACTATTTGGTTGTGTCTCTTGATGACTTCAGTTTGGTCGATATTTGAAGTCCCAACTTTATCTTCAAAGTCTTGTACTTGTTGTTCCAAATCGGCTATATTTCTTCTTGTCCTTAGCCGTTCTGTCTCTAAATTCAGTCAACTCAGTGTTGTTTGCTTCTAAGTCTCTTTGTAACTTTTTGATTGAACCATTCAGATTGTTGGTCTCATCTTCGTGTGCTGAAACCAAGTTATTGAGTTGGTCATATTGGTTTTTAAGCTTCTTCTTTTCAGAAGAAAGTTGGTCTTTGTCATTCGCTAAGTTCTTCACCTTCTCTTTAATTTCGTCGTTTTTGCTTTCAACCTTTTTGCTTCTTTTTCTTTGGCAAATTTGTCCTTGTTGACTGTTTCAAGCTCTTCGTTGGCTTCAACAACTTCTTGTTCTATTTTTGTAATAACACCAGTAAGTTCGTCGACTTTAACACTCAATTCCTCAATCTTTTTATTACTCTTATTAACAGTTCCATTGAGTTTCTTCTTATCAACAGTATCAGTGTCGGCATTCTTCTTGAGATAGTCAAAGTTCTGTTGGAGTTGGTCAAGTTCGGCTTTAGTTCTTCCCAAGTCGTTCTTAGTAATTCTTAACTTCTCATTTGCGGCTTCAACTTCTTCGTTAAGAGCAGCTTTTTCTCATTCAGCGTCTTCTAATTTGGCATCGACAATAGATTTGGCTTTAGTCAAATTGTCATTGTCAGCCTTCAATTGAGCCGGCCGCTTCTCTTGGGCATCTTTTTTCTATTCGTGTTCTCGGCATCAGCTTCAAGCTTGTCTTTCTTATTAGTAGTTTAGGCAAGTTGTTCATTCAAGTTATTTAATTCAACGTCTTTTTGGTTCATATTCGATTTAGCACCAGCCAAGTACTTTTCAGTCTTCTCCATATCATCTTTCAACGCTTGGATTTGGGCTTCGTAGTCGGCCTTTTGTGCTTTCAACATATCAGAGTCGTTCAGACCATCTTCAATTCTCTTCGTCAACTCAGCAATTTTTCTATTTTTATCTTCTAACTCATCTTTCTCTGAGTTCAATAATGAAATCTTCTTATCACTTGCATTCTTGGCTGAAGTCAAAGCAGCAGTTTTGGTCTTCTCAGCTTGCAACTGTTGGTTATACCCATCTCTCTCGTCTGAGACCTTCTTGTTCGAGCAACTTGTTTGTCGAGTTTCTTCTCGGTATCGTCAAGAGCCAATTGAGTCTTTTTCAAATCATTTTTGGTACTGGCAAGATCGTCTTTAATATCATTCAAACAGAGTCAATGTCTTCATTCTGTGCGTTGACATCAGAAATGGTGTTTTGCAACTTCTTGACTTGTTTCTCCAAATCGGCAATATCGTCTTCCTTCTCGTGCAATTGTGTCTCAAGATCCTTTGGATTGTCTTCTTCGGCTTCAAGCTTCTTTTTCAAATCGGAAATTTCGCCTTCCTTATCTTCAATGTCTTTGTTCAACTCAGTGATAACACTATCCTTCTAAAAAATAGTGGCTTTGTGTTCGGTAATTCCGTCTTGGAGTCTTTGATTATCAGCTTCAAGTTACTTGTACTCAGTGGTTAACTTGCTCAAGTCTTCCTTTCCTCTCTTGATATCAACTCTGAGTTCCTCAATGTGTTTTTGGTCTTCTTGTGACTTCATATCAGCCTTGTCAAGTGAAACCTTCTTTGGCTCAATATCTTCTTTAAGCTTTTAAACTAAAGTTTCCAAGTCGACGTTCTTGATTTTCATTTCAGAAAGTGCCTTCTCAGCGACTTCTCTCTTTGCAATTTCTTCAGCAAGCTTCTTCTTTAAAAGCTTCAATTTCTTTGTCTTTAGCTGCGAATTAACACTCGTCAACTCTTTTTCTCTTAAGTGTTGGTCATACCTTTTGGAACAATCTGAACCAATTTCTGAATTGGTACTTAGTGTGGATGGTGTCTTGAATGACAATAATAGCAATCTGTTCAACAAGTTTCTGTTCAATAAGTTTTCATTGTGAAATTGCTTTTGCACATATATGAAGACCACCAACAAGTTCAGTGTCTCTGTTTTCTCTAATCTCTTCAATTCCATCAAGAACACCAACCTTGGAGAAAATCTTGGTCTTGCCAAATCTCAATTTTTCAGTGTTAACTCTTGGCTTGTTTCTTGTACTTCTCACAAATTAGTTTCATGAAATCTTTGACTACTGGCATGGCGTCTGAAGTCTTCTTGTTGATGTTTGTTCCAAGAAAAAAGTATCTCTTCAAGAATTCGTTGCAGTTTATTCTGTTTGGATACCCAAGACGAGTAATTCTAATACCTTCCAAGACACCATTGCATCTCAATTGCTTCAAGACAGTCGAGTCAATGAAGTAGCGTCTTGTCTTCTGTGTATTTAAAAAACGCAGATAATATAGTGTGGTGTAGTCATTCTCAATTTCTTCATAAGATCATCAAGTTATTCTCTGTAATTAGATCCCACAGTCAAAAACTTGGCACCTTTCTGGCCCTTGTTGGCACCACCAGCCGAAGCTCCGAAGTCATCACCACCGGCAACATGCAAACTGAACAATTCTGAAATGAACTTCCCTTGAACAGCCAAGAAAGTCTTTTTTATATGTGGTTTCAATGTATTTTTGTTCTTTCAAATTTTGTCAATATCATCATACCTTAGTTTTATTTGAATTTTTTAGTTTTACTTATTTACTAATTTTTTTATTTATATAAATAATATAAATAATACTTTATTGATATTATTATATTATTAATATAATAAATGGTAATGTTTATTAGAAAAGCTATATATACCCAGTGAATAAATTTCATAAAAAAAATACAAAAAAGTGTATAGTAGTATATAAATAATGTGGATTTAGGGGGCACCCATTTTATACTATATTTTATCATAATTTAATTAAATCGCGAGGGGGACGGTTTTGGAAAACCTGAAGGGGCGAAGCCCCAACTCAGTAATCTGAATTTAATTATAAATCAATATTTATGGTAAATTTATAATAATTAAATTTTATGGTAAATTTATAGTATAGTCGGGTAATAAATAGCATTAAAAAGGGACAAAGGTAGTTAATTTTGATAAATATAATTTTGAAACTATAATTTTTAAAAAATCTATTTAAAGGTCAAATTAAACATAAAATTAAATTAATAATATAAATTATCGTTTTTTATTTTAAATGATTATAAATTGAATAATTATAAATTTCTATTTCAAAAATAAACAAAAACACCTCAATTTGTTCACTTAAAAAATGTGGAAGTCTAAAACGCAGCACTTTTTATGGTTTGTCTGAAACTTGTTTTGTTAAAGAATTTTTCCTTTGTTTCATTTCTTTTCTGCTCTTCTTCAACTCCAATTGTTTTAATGTTAAAATGGTCTTTCTCTTATCCTTTCTCAATGGGAATGGTTCAACAACGAAAGATTGAAAGATTGAAATAACAAATGATGATTTTTCAGTGATTCCCTGACACTTTCAAAAATTGACACTGTTGTTAATTCATAAAACTCTGGCATTTTAACCATATACATCGTAAATATATATTGAAATACAGTTTCAAAATTGGTTTCTTGTATTTAAATTGCTTTTTTATGTTGATTGCCTGTGGTTGTTTCATCAAGGGTTCCTTTCTCTTCTTCTTCCATTTTTTTCAAAGATTGAAAAATATCAAAAATAGAAAGTTATGGTTTTCTTTTATTATTTTCAAAGTAGTTAATTAAAAAACCCTTCTAATACTTTTATGGTTAAAGAAATTATATTTTATAGTTTTTTACTCAAATTAACTACTTCTGTCCCAAATTAACCCCCTTTATCACCCGACTATAATATGAATTTTTATCTTCCTTAAAATGATTGAAGGGATAATTAAACTTGATTATGATAAAAATGTTGATGGTTATGTTAAATATGATTTAGATGACAAATCATTATTTGTTGATCTTAGATGTGGATATAGAATTAAAATTAGAAGAATAAAAAGATTCAAAGAATATTTGAATGATTATCTTAACACTCTACAAAGTAATGAAAATGTAATATGTAATTACCAAACTAATGAAAGTTGGAGTAAAACATATCCTTTAACAGATAAATATGCTTTAAACAAATTGATTAGCGTTCTAAAAACAAGAATATTTGATCATTATGAAATAATTAAAGCTTCAAACTCAGATTATGATATCGATATACCAGAACTTATAATTGTTTTAAAAATAAAAGTATTTATTTATATATATATTAATTCTCAAATAATTTACTAATATCTAAAGTGTTAACAGTAATATAATGTTCTAATCTCGGAAGCATCTTATTAATAATTCCATCTCTCATATTATTATGATTGTTTTCTAATTCTTCTATTTTATTAAGTAAAAATCTAATTGTTCTTGCTTTTCATCATCTATATTTTTGACTTTTTTTTATTTAAATCATTTTTCGTAATTTTAACTTGTTTCTTAATTAATGTTTGTTTACCTTTAATTTTACAAAATACATATTTATTTATATAAATTGTAGCATTTGAATCTTTTGTATTGATTAAGTTAACTTTTGGATTATTATTAATATATCTAATGATTTCTTTGTTACATTGTTATACATATCTATTTCATTTAAATTGTATTTGTTTATTATCTTCTGTAATGCAATAATATGTTTAAAAGTAATATCAGACAAATTTTCAGTCTTTAACACGGGATTTTGTTCCGCCTTCGGCATGGATACATCGCAGATGCGGACTCCACATCCTTTGGATGTGTCGATGTTTCGCTCAGCTTTCGGCATGATGCTTTGCTCAATATCATATTCATCTTCACTTTCATCAATTTCATTTGGAGAATAAGACATACCAAATACTGTTTTTGGTGTTACATCGTACTTTCTTTGGAGTGATTCTTCTCTTACTTTAATAATTTCAGAAGTATCTATTTGTTTTAATGGGTCCGTCTTTGTTCTTTGATTTGTTTTCTTCGAAAAACTAATTAAATTTACATTTTTTATAACAACCATTAATTTATAACGAAATTACTTCTTAAATAGTTTTTGTCTTTGAATTAATTTATTTTTGGAAATAATAAAATTTTTTGATTGTATATTTATAATAAAAATATACTTTGTTATATAGTTTCGATAATGAATAAAAAATGCCGCGGACACGAAAATAAGAGAATAGACATCCTTATATACAGAAAGGACATCCTTTATCACAAAGGACGTCCTTCGGCCTATATTCCCGTCCTTCGTCCCCATGTCCGTCCTTTCTCTGAAAACAACACTTTTGAGTTTTATTATCATAGTCTTGTTTTTTTTGTTTAAATTTATGTAAAATAATTGGGGTTTCACCTAAATTAATCACAATATTCGTTTTTGGATAAAAATGCATTATTTTTGTTTATGGAACTATTTTTCGGTACTATAATATTATAAATTACTTATTATAAAATAATGAATAAATAAAAACAAATAATATAAACTCTAGTTTTTATTCGTTTTTATTTATTTAAACACACTTGTTTCACCACCACCTTAACAAAGTATTTGCCGCGAGTATTTTTAAGGGAAGTCCGCATTTAAGTCACTGTTCGTGCGTCCCCATGTCACCCACTTTCCTTGTCCGTACTGTTTGGACGCTGATGTGGTTCCCTTGCAAACGGGGTTTAGAAGGATCCGCGCCAAGGAGGACATTGAAAGTATGTGAAACGGGTGCACAAACAGACCGCCTGTGCCTTCTTTTTGGTTATCATCTCACTCGGTTTCCACTGATTCGAGGTGAATTATCGACACATTTTTAATTCGGGAACCAGACCAAATATTATCCCAAGCTCCCATTTATTAAAATTTTAATTAAAATATTATATTAAATAGTAAAAAATAACTTTATTTTTAGAGACGATGAAAAAGCCTTTACCATCATCATTTGTTTTTGATCGAATAAAATAATTATTAAAATATTATAACTATGAAACTACCGAAAGTTAATTTCAACAATTATTTATATATTAAAAATCATTTAGAATAATTTTCTTGAAAAAAGTGGAATTAAACCCGATAGTTCCAAAATATTTTAAGTGAATTAAACCCAGATTATACTGTATTATTATAATTATTATCATACTCGATCTAATATATCAATAGTATATATATTATAATAAATTTAATATATATAAAAATATAATTATTATAAAATAATAAAAAATTAAAATTTAAAAATTTGTAAATTCAATAATCATTAACACAATACTGAGAATCAAAAGCCAAACAAAAACAAGTTAATATTCAAATATTAACTTGTTGTGTTTTTTAACATTTTTATCTATTAAAAACAATTATTATTTTGTGTAAATATTTTTAATTATGTTGTAACATTAAAAAGTCTTAAATTTACATACTAATAATTAAACCTTCATCTACGTTTTTAATATTTTTTTGTTTTAAACGCTTTTTCAATAATAATATTTGTTGTTTGTACCAAACGAGAAAGAGTAATAGTGGGTTTATTAAATCATATTCTTGTGATTGATGTGTAAATATCATTATTTTAAACAACCAGTCAAATAAAATGATGTTGATTGAAACAAATTATAATGATAATCATACTTAATGACATAATGTTTGTAATAGTTTTATTTTTTGTGTTAATTATCATGTCTGTTTTACTTGCTGCAAACTTTACAATAAAAATATGACATTATTGTTATTAAACACAAAATCGACAATTTATATATATATATGTTATAACAATAAAATCACAACATTATTATTTGTTTTCATTGTTTTTATTAAAATTTGTGTTGTTTGATAAAAAGTATTGCAAAGAAACAATTGTAATAATAACTACATTTATTTTTAAGTTGCTTTGGGTGTCGAAATATGTGGATATATATTAATTATATCATCAAATATTAAAAAAATACCTGCTTAATTGTGAACAAGATTAAGATTGTCTACTTTAGTTTAAACTTTTATTATTTTGATAATATTAAATTGATATTAATTACTAATCATTATTATTTTATACACAAATAAATGACCAATGAAAAATAATGTTACAAATGAATTAATTACTTAATCATTAAA